CAGCGGTCGAGCATGAGTTCCCGCAGCACAATATGGCGGTCGAGCATGGGCTCCCGCAATGCAACACGGCGGTCGAGCAGTCGAGGCTCCCGTCACCGAGCCGGTGGTCGAGCAGTTGGAGCTCCCGCCGAACGACCACGCGGTCAAGCAGTGGCCCCCGCGTGTGACCGGCACAGTCGAGAGTGAGCTTCAGTGCCTAGAGCGGGGTGATACATCGTCCAGCGAGAGCGATTCTCCCTCCTCGAGTACACACTCGAGGCGCCGGGCAAAGAAGTCGAAGCGCCGTCATTTGAAGCCACGACGTGAAACTGCACCGAGCGGCATCTCACAGACGGAGTCGGTCTGTGTCATTGAGCACGTGGACGACGGCATGGACCGTCAGCGCACCGTCGATCTTGTGTGTCCACCTCGCGACGCTCAATCGATCACCCGGCTTCCAGGTCTCTCCTGGAAGAACTTCCTTCGTGGTCTCAAGGTTGGTGAGGTTGAGCAGGTCTGCCTGATCACAGACACTTCGTCTACGCCACTCGAAGGGAACACCGTCAGTGATGACGACGGATCCACCCGTCCCAAGAGCGCCGAACCGAAGTCCGCTCGCGAGGAGCGATTCGCAGCGCAGTCCTGGGAGTCCTTGCGCGAGTCTGGTAATCCAGTGTACGAGACCGTCCGCGAATACGCGGACGTCTTTCCCGATAAGATTCCAGCCGAACTGCCTGCCGATCGAGGCGTCCGCCACGAGATCGATCTCGCGCCCGGTTCGAAGTACTGTGTGACGCGGCAGTGGCCGCTGCCGCGAGACCAAGTCAAGGCCATCGACGACTTCTTCGAGAATCGCCGTAAAGCGGGTCACGTGCGTGAGAGTGTCTCTCCACATTCAAGCCCAACGTTCTGTGTGAAGAAGGCCACAGGCGGATGGCGCATCGTTCATGCCTTTAACAAGTTGAATGATGCGACCATCCCCGCGCAAACCCCAATTCCCCGGAAGGACATGGTGCTCGACAGCATGGCGGGCAGTGTCGTCTTCAGCGCCATCGACTTGACCGATGAATTCTATCAGATCTTGATGAGACCGAGCGACATCCCCCTTACAGCGGTGAGCACCCCCAGCGGTATGCTCTGGGAGTGGCTTGTGATGCCACAAGTCTTGAAGAATGCTCCCGCCACGTTCAATCGCATGGTCTCCCATGTGCTGCGTCCGCTTCGAGACTTCGCACCGAGCTACTTCGACGACATCTTCGTGCACAGCCGCGCTGAGGATGGTCTCAGCGCGATAGAAGTCCACTTGAGGCACTTAAAACAGGTCTTCCAAGTGATGCGGGAGAACAAGTTGTACGCGAACCTGAAGAAGTGTATCTTC